GCTTGATAACGATGTGTTACAGGCCGCGGAAATGCCAAAATGATTATTGAGTGGATCCGTAGTTACCATCTTTCAAAAAGAAAGAAATGTGACCCACTCTCTTGAAAATCTATGCCATATAGCCGATTCATTGACTATGAAATTTCATAGTGGATTCATTCAATCATGCGAAAAGCAGCTGATTAGTAATGAATGTGTGCTCTTGTGGGAAATAGGCTTTTTCCTTGTTCTACCGAGATGAACTAAAGATCAAGAGCGTGAAAGAGATTCGATTTTGATTCTGAACCGTAAATCTTTCCACGAGAAGCCCCCATAAGTCAAACGTCACAAATTCATAGAAATTTCATAGTATACAAAGGTCTGTTTAGTATCAATTCGAAGGTCATTCATGGCTGACCGAGAAGATCGGCTTAGTCTCCCCGGACTGGAACAGCGCTCCGAGCCACATTTGTATTTTTGGAACGTAGCGTAATTGAGGCTTGCCTGCTGCTATTGGTCCTTGACACAAAAAATGCTAGTGATATTATTTCACATTCTCAATGAAAGCGTCGGTAATATGAACATAAATACAGGCGTAGAAAGAAGGCAATAGCACACTAGTCATTGGCTTCTAAAGAAGTCCAAGTCAAATCATCCTACACGCTATGGGAATGCAGAAGCAAAAGAAGGAGATAGGATTCACCTGCCCGTGAAGGAACTAAGACAAATTTGGCTCTCAGAGTCAACTCTTATTCAATGATAGGTTTGAGTGATTTCAATGATTTTATTTTCAAAATTTTGCTATTGGATAAATATGAGGAAGGCGCGAGGTACGCGTTCCCAATCTGTACAGCCTATACATATCAAAGAAGTGTAAGTTAGTGCATGTGCCTCAATCTCGCCAGCTACGAAAGAATGACAGTGTGGGAAGTCAGCGAAACTAGCGCCTGTGTCATTGAATGCATATGCCAAGCTCTTTTTTTCTGCCTATTTTCTTCCTCGGACCTCACACTACACGGATTTACACATGCTCGAAAGTAAAGCACTATGACACAGGAAGACAGAAGGATAATGAGTTAGTTTAAATTTGGTGCTAGCATGATGATAGCGTAATTGTATAATGTTTTTCTAGCTTGTAGACTGTGTGCATGACGGCTCCTTGCAGGTGTGACTGTCGGGCATGGTGTTGGATTATTATAGAGAGAGAGTATGACTCGCATTGATATATAGTGCATTAGATGTTGTGTGTGCATAAAGCACGCAGCTGTTCTGAGAACGACCCGGATTTCAGCTGGATCGAAGTTGATATACGATCACGAAGGTGTTGTGTAGGATAATGTTTCATAATTAGGCAGCTGTGTAGTTGATAGTATGCTGCTTGGTGAGATGAAGAGCGTGATGTGATCGCTACGAGAAATTATAGATGTCCTCATGTGATGTTCTCGCTCGGGCGATGATAAAGCGGCTCACGATCTCTCTCGCGAGAGGTGAGATAGTCGATATCACTGATCACACACACGCAGGTGAGATGAGATGAGGACTCTTGATTAGGACTTGGCAGGATTCATGAGCTCTATTTAGCGTATTATAATGAATAGTGTATCGATATAAGGCGCGATTGAAGTTCATTGATAAGAGTATGCGCTACAGGGTTAATATTCGACATTATAGTGCACTGAGAGGCGTGGACAATCTCAGCATGGAATTGAATTCATTGTCCATCTATGAACGTTGGGCGCTCTTCACCATTTCAGCCATGGATTGCGCATAAGCGAGTGACTAGGTGTTTTTTCTTAAGCGTATCAAAGAAAGAACGTCAAGTCTCGGAAATGGGTGTATGGCTAGCAATCAACTAGGTGTCTGACGAGCAAGGAAGCGAGTCCTATCATCTACCTCTCCAAACATATCTGCCGGAAATAACATGTTCAGTGCTGCAAAGCGTAGGGCTGTAGCCCTCTAACATTTCGGCTCCTCGTTTTGTCTGAACTGATGGAGATATTGTAGCATATCACAGTAAATTACAGATGAGATCGTAGAAAACTGAGCTTAGCTGATATAGCCTACACCTATTCCGGACGGTTATGCGAGAACTATATATAAGAATAAAGGACCAGGATCTCCTATGAAATAGATAAGATTATTCATTAATAGCATAGTCCAAGCAAACCCACTTATAATCTTTACTGAACTATGACCGGCCATCATATTAGCAAATAAACGTATCCCTGAGCTTAATGCACGAAAACAATGAGGGATTAGCTCAAGGAGTACTAAAAAGGGTGCTAATGGCAGTGGGACTCCTGCGGGTAATGAGAAGCTAAAAAAATGAAGCCCATGTCTTTGAAATCCAACGATCGTAATGCCTATAAAAATGGAAAATGAGAGAGCCAAAGTAAATGACTTGTCACTGTGAAGCTAAAGGGTATCATACCCTGGGGATTACGAAATAACGAAAAAGTAAAAGTGACCGAGATGCGAGGGGAAAACTTTTGTTTCACATTTCCGGAAAGACCACCTATTTGTTCGTTTACCAGGTTCGGCACGAAATCATGAATAAGCTCTACCAAGGATTGCCAAGCATTTGGCACTGACTTTCCCCCCCCTTTTTTCGTAACAAAAGAAATCAGAAGTAGGACCAAACCGAGAGTGAGCAGCATAAACAAAGATGGATTTGTGAATGAGAAAGAAAAGTCCCCTATCTGAATAGGAATCAACGGGAGAATGGCAAATTGCTCAAGTGGGCTGGGACCTATCCCCGCTAGATCCAGGGCATCCCTATAGGCTTCACCTTGTACTCCGTTTATGGTCAAATCATCTATCCTGAAGAAGTCAAACATCATTTTGATTTCCATT